AATAATAATAATACTAATAAAAATAAATTTAAAAAAACATCAGTAAAATACAGCAACAGGCACACATATTTAATTAGGTAGGTGCTCCAAATCAGAAAAATAAGAAAGAAAACACTGCCATTTTTGGAAAAAATGTCTGTACATCCTCTCATTGTATATTCGACCTCCAGTGTAATAATAATAAACGTCTTGCAATTAAGGATGTAAAGGCTATAATATCTTTTTGCATTGAATTGAATAAAACCGAGGAATCAGAAATCCCAAATATGGCAGTCAGTGGACAAGGTTGCAAATTAACTTTGGGAATCGTAGACATAACTGTGAAGTAACCAGACCAGAATGCCGCGCTGTGGCTTCTAACCGGCGTCTTTTCTGAGGGGATTAGCATCGAATCGGCCTTTCTAAACTGGGTTTTTAGCCCCGATGTGAAGGCAAAGCTGCAGTTTTTGGGGTTAATGGCTTCTTCTGGTGGGAGAGAGAGGCAGACAGGATTGCATCACCTCATTTTTCACGTTTTTGGATGTGAGCGCTAACACTGAGATCATGTGTTTTGTCTTCCGAAAGCCACAGAAAAACTGTAAGGAGGCTGTTTTTGGACCCTCTGAAGTTCATTCCTCCGGCTGCCTTTGGGCCTTTTTGACCCCTTCGTGGAAAAACCAGAACAAAAAAAAACACTAGAAAGCTGTTGAAATATGCAGAAAAACAAACCACAAAGCATAAAAACTCCAAATGAAACAAAACATCAGACTTAAGTCCAGAAAATCCACAACCCTGAATTAACATTTAGCTTTTTATTTATTCAGAAAATCCCCCATTAAACAGCCATAATTCAACTTAATAACTTGTCATTCAATTTAAATATTATTTATACTTAAATTGAATTTATATGATAATTTATATTTTTAAATATTCAGGATATAACAGAGAGAAGTGGAAACATGAGTTCAGGAGCTGAAAAAGGTTGATTTCGGAGCAAAAAACAGACTCAGTTTAACCTGAGAGGAAAAAATGAGGTTTAAAGTGTCTCACTGCTCAGTTTGATGAAGAATCCTCTGAAAACAGGAGCTGATTTCACACTAAAATGATGGAAAGACCTCAGTTTTTACACAGGAAGCTGAAATAATACCACAAATTCATTTGGGAATCTGATGAATTACTAAAAGAATTAGAAATAAATCAGAATATCTCAGATTTAAACGTCAAAATGTGTGTTTTTTTCCTCCAGAATCAGCTCTGATTTCCACTAAATGAGCTCTGTTCCAGCAGATGTTACAGAAAGAAGTGGAAACATGAGTTCAGGAGTTGAAACAGGCTGATTTCAGAGCAAAAAA